GCTTCACTGCTTTGCAAACACCTTAACCTTTTTTCATTAAGAAAATTCCCTTCCTGATGTGCTGCCAACAGGTAGCCAAAATTCTTCTACTAATAAAAGAACCAGAGCTACCTTGCTAGCTGCACAGTGAACTTCAGGCGCATGATACTGAAGGTGGCAACAAACCAGCTACCTCATACATATTCCTACTGTTATTCCGAGTGACAAGAACTTCACAGCATGTCATCTTCGGGGGCTGCATCAATAGCCTTACTTTTCCCTAGTAGGAGGGTTGTGGAAGAAACATAAACATTCTGCTCAAGTGGGAGTATTTAAACTACCCCTACTTTATGGTTAAACCTACCTCAAAAAATAACAGCTGTTCTTGTAATTGAGATATGCTTCACAGCTGAGACAGACTGTAGAGTTAACAATCCCTGACAGGCATTTAAAATTACACGTTGGAGTCCACTGCTCCCTTTCCTTTGCACTATCCAATCCCACCAAAATAAAAGAGACCGGCCACGATTTCCTTGTTTGGGATTCTCCTGACACAAAAGAACTTCCACAGAACTCCAAGCTGAGTTTTACAGTAGGGGTGGGAGTATTTTGGGAGCCAGGAGGGGAGAAGCCAAGGTACAATACACTCCTGATAACTAGTTAAGACGTGCAGGGACTCTAGCCAGCACATTTAGACCACAGCATGGTTGACCTGATCTGCATCATGGCTTGGGAGAAGATCAGGGCCTCCTGGAAGTCTCCCCAGCAGACTCATGTGAACTGCACAGAGAACCATTCAACACAGAGGTACCTGTGTTTACAAATCCACCTGCTTAGAGTCAGAAACCTCAAAGTCAGGCAACTATATGACACTGATCTTGCTGTTATTTAACTTTCTTAATTGCACAGTAAGTCACTGAAGCTAAACACTTTTGAGTATCAGACTGCAGAGGAAAAAAATTAAACTGTGCTGCTCTATTGACAGGTCATTAAAACAGAGATGCACTTTTATTTGCACTTATTTGATGTGCTGCTCCTTACAAGTCACAATCACCTTGACAGCCAGTGCTTTACCTAACACTTCAAAACACAGCAGAACTATCCACAGCACAGGCTATTTAAGAACACTAAACACTATTCAGTCTCAAAAATGTATAAAAAAAGTAAGTTGTATTACCTTGTCTATTATCAGTAGATTAGTGGGTAACACATGCATGCATCAGGCAGCCTAGCTTTATTTCCAGTGCATTACCACTGCTCCTTACTCTCAATACAAAGGTCTGTTTCTTCAGAAAGAACAAGCCAGTGAGAAACTCTTTATTTGTGTAAATAAACAGAACAACAAATGCAGCTGGGTGTCAGGTACTGTAACTTAGTAGAATGTGGTTTCTATCAGTATCTTGCAGCTTTTCAATGAACACACTGATATATTTCAAATCTAATTCTGACAACAGTCCTTTAATTTAGAGTTAAAAACAAGCAGGGGCCAAGTTTGTTTATGAGAAAGTTCCTGAGAACATACGACACGCAATTGCACTTGCTCCCTTTATCAAACCCTGCGAGCAACTGCATTTACTTCAAACCCTTGTTATTAAGACTTCCCGGTAGATCGGGTTGTTCTAAAACGCAAGATACTCTAAAGTGACTGCAAAACCGAGCTGTCTGTTCTCAGAGGGCAGCCATCTGGGCTTGTTTATGTTTTCAACGTTGTGGAACAGGGAGTTGCTCTGTTAGAGCCGGGACACCCTCGGGAAGGAAGTATCCCACAGAGCACTGTCTAGCTCTAGCCTCCAGCTACGCATACAAATTTCAGTTCATTTCAGTCACGGTTTCAAAAGGCTATTCAGCGACTGCAAGCAAAGCATCTGGAAAAAAATAGTAAGATGCAACTGTAGGACTTTGACTAAAATATCTACCAAGAGACTGGGGTGGGCATAGAGGGGGAGCTACTCCCGATACACAACTAAGAAACACACTTACTTCTGCATAAAGTAACAAGGACAATGCCAGCCTGTTTTCGGAAGTTGAGGGCATTTTTAAAAATTGTTCTTCAGCTCAGGCTCCGGCACAGCGTACTTTTGGAACCGTCACACGGAATTCGGGCACCCATTATTCAAAGTGTGTATTGATGGCAGTATCTGACTCACAGGAAACTACGAAAATCTCTTCACAGCATTTAGCCAGCTTCCTTAACAGGGACAGCTGTGTGATTTGCAAGGTTAATTGTTAAAAATACTTTGGTGGTTTCCACTGTAATTTTATATAAGTGAGGACCTTCGTCATGATTTATGTTTCAAAATAAAAGTCTTACAGTTTGGCTAGCTTTGATCAAAGTAACTAAGATTCACTGTAAGTCAAACAAGCCAGAACTAAGTTAAATCCTGTTCCTTGCTTTTTCAGAATAGTAAGGACATAAAATAAAAAGATACCTTCTAAAGTAAAATCCAGCAATACATATTCGTACGCAGAATCCGTCTTTGTTTCAACTTGTGGTCTCTTCAGTGTGGAAAAGATTTTTCCAGGGCTGCTATCATCTGGGTCTTCCAGCTTTCTCAGTCCGCACCCCATGGCAAGATCTGCAAATGATTAAATTGCAGGAAAATATGGGGGGAGCAGCAAGATCTGTTGCTCTCACTGCAAGGGGGGGAAAAAAAAAAAAGGAACCAAATAATTCCCTTTGGTTTTGTTTTCTATTAGCTGTAAATCCAAACAGAGGAAAAGTCCAGTTCCCAAATCAAAAAGCCAAGGTGCTTTCCATTCATTTTTTTATATAGAAAACAGCAGCTCCCTGACGATTTCAGGCTACAAACTTGGTAGGAGCAGGCTTGATTCCGCAGCGATGTTAGAGCTGCTCCAAACTAGCCGAGATTTTCCATGCCACGTCAATTTACAGCCAGCCCCCTCTCAGTGCTCCCGAGCAGAGGACACCAATAGTGCTTTGTTTGTCCTCCTGGACTGACTGGCTGAGGGGGGGCGGCAGGGGGAAGAAGAACTGAAAAAGAAAGTTAGAGAGAGTCTCGTCTGCAAACACTTACCTCCAGGAGTTCTCAACTGCGGTAGAAAGTCGGAGGGGAAAAAGGCAAGTTAGTCAGAATGAAAGAATGAAAAAAGAGCCTCAACATGGTTGGAGAGGAAAATCATTTCCAGAAAGGAAGTCAGCTTCAAGAGGAAATTGCTTCTGGCATCTCAAAGGGTAGAAAAGTAAATGGAAAGCAGTTTAGTCCTTATTTTAGATTATAAAGTTTGGTTCCTATTTCCTTTCCATAGGAACTTTCTTCCACAGGAAAAAAAAAACCCGAACATTAACATAGTGCAATACTGTAATAGTGTTTACTCTAATAATGTAAAAGCATGTAATAAAGACATTTCTTGTTAAGAAAAGCAGTAAGAATCTGCATCACTAAAATCAACTTACATAATTGGTTTTGATGAATGCCAATTACGGACACTGAAATATCCCTCCTTTCAAATCAGAAACTTTTTCAGTATTATCCATGAATACAGTTACAAAACTTTGTTCCCCATTTTTTTATGGGCATTGAACAACTCAAATCCTCTTCTCCATCAGGGTGACCTCAGTTCGTATAGCCACAGGGTTTCAACACAGGTTTCAACACAGTAAATTCTTCTTTAAGTCTTGAAAATTCAGCATAATTCTAAGGGCTCTCATTACTCTAACTAGTGCAAGTCACTTTGAGCTGTGCTACATCTGATGCAGACTGTGACATTGCATGGGGAAAAAAAAAAAAAAGGAGCGGTGATTGATTTTCTAAGGCCCTGTTACTGCCGGTATGGGAGGTTAGAGAATTTACCTTTTTATTTTCAGACTGCATCTAGAGAAATCAAGAGCCATCTAGAGAAAAGCAGAGATTCGTAATACTGTTTTGGATGAAAGGAACTGCACATTTGAACTGAAAAAGGTTTTTGCTTTTTCTCACTGAAAAAATACCAAACTTACAAAAAATGCCCACATTTCCTATAATCAATCACTGCAAGTTAGGCATTAAACATTTGTGGGTTTCTTCCTGTTCTTTTGAACGTAAAGTGATCTAACTTTTGTTTCAGTAGTTGACCAGGAATGGTAAGTCTGTAGATTATAACCCTTTTGAAACCCACATTACGAGTTAAAAGTTACTTTACTTTGGAAGAGCTTAAAAATCTCTGAGTGCAGAGCCTAAGGCTGAAGTCATAATCACTGCACACAGTCTTTAAAACCTTTTCAGGTGCTGAAACCAAGAGGAAATCCCTTAGTGTTGTCTTTTGATCAAAAACTAGGGAAACAAACTGAATAAGCAGAATTCTTCAGTTTCCAGCATGTCTGCTTACACTGAAATTGCTCCCAAACACTTTTTTTTTTCCCAGCAAAGGTCATCCCCGAATTGTTGCTGCACCAGATGTACATGTGAACTGCCCACTCAACCTCAAGAATCCTGCTGCTTCATTCCACACAGTCCTTAAGATCCACTGTAACTGCTTGTATAAAGCCATGGCGTGACCCAGAGAGATGCAAGTAAAACAACTTTTTGTGGCACTAGTTCACTTGCCAGCTGGTTGCCTTTTAGAATTTATTTATTTAAAAGATAGCTATGTTTTTAACGAGGCCAGACTACTTTATTTTGAACTGTCCATGACAAGGCCTAAACCCTATTTCATCACGACAGGATTTTTCACAGCATCAACAAACTCTTAGGAAACAGCACACTGTGATGGATAAAAAACACTGCTCTCCTTATTTCGGATAACCCAAGATCGGGCAAAGAATTAGAAGCTTCCAAGCTGGAAGCGAGTCAACAGTTGCCATTGTAGACTTGACTCAAAAGTCACTAGACTGAACCAATGGAACCAAGGGTCTTGCACGTCAGAAGAAAGGAAACACAAAACAAGTGACCAAGAACTAGCAGCACCCCCCACAAGAGCTGAAAACCACATCAAAGCACCTCAATGACTCAGTACAGGAACAAGACTACGATTTCTAGATTCAAAAGCTGTTGAAGGGGCTGCTTTAACAGCTATGCTATCCTGCTGGAAGTGGATATGAACTACAAAACAGCCCATTTCCCGTGACCCAAAGCACAAAGGCTCTGGGAACTGATATCAAAGAACAGATCCCTAAACCTACACTGGGGTTCACCGAGGTGTGGTACTCACAGCAGCTCCCACTGAAAGAGTGTCAGACTCAGTCATCGTAGCGTGATGCAGCTTTTAGAACAGCAAACAGAGATAGCAAAACAACGGACCAAAAAACCCAAAGGAACTACGCTGCTGTGGAAGGCTTCCAGCAGCCCCCCCTGGCTTTTATTCTGATAAAACGGGAAGGAAGGATACAGAGATGGCAGGAGAGCAGCACCTCTGCAGGAGTGCAAGCCCAGTGCTGGGCTCCTGACTGTCTCCTAGCAGTGCAGGGGGAGAGGGGGCAGCAGCGGCTCTGCTCAGCAGTTTGACCAGGAGGTGAGCCTTGCCTTGCTGTCTACCCACATGTCAAGAGTCACTCCTCTCCCTTGTCCCCTGCTGTCAGTGTCAAGGGATGTTTGAAAAAATTTGTGTGGGAGGCATTTCTGTTTTTCTCGTTATGATACTTAACTTGCTGAATGTAAGGACGTCACCAGATGCCCTTGAAACCGATGCTTTCAAATAGATGTCCCTCTGTTCCTGATAAAATTTGTGAGCAGTAGCACAATCACAACCTATGACTCCTGCTCAATCACACAATTTGGAACTCCCTGGAGAACCAAAGAGGAGATCTCACACCTTCCAGCCTGTCAGGCCACGACCGGGACAAAAACATTGCTAGTGGTCCATCCGGGAGAGTGTCAGTCATTCAAAACATCCCAACAGGTCAGCTTACCTGGAATAAACTCTCTAAAGCTGCACAGCTTTTAGATCCATTCCTATTCTTGAAGAGTACTAAGCATCAGGAATACAAATACCTTAAAACTGTACCCATTTCCCAAAGAACAAGCCATTGCTATTTACAGAGATTTGGCTAGGTCCAGACCTGGCTCGACTAACAAGAGAAAGAAGGGATAACTCTTTGTTCCTCTGACAAGTCAAAATACAAAATAGTATTTGGACAAAACACGTTTCCCACTTGCAGCTTAGAACGGCATCCAAGAACATTACCTAAAAAAAAATCCGCGTTATATCAGTTACAGATCAGTCATCACTGATGCAGAACATTTGTAACAGAGGACACACAGATTAGTAAGATACAAAGGGGAAAACTACGAACACGTGCTAAATGAGTCAGATTTTTTCAGAACCTCGGGCTATCTGAACAGCTACAGGACTCAAACCCAAAGCTTTAAAAACCCCTAAATATTAATCATCTCAGATTGCAACACTTTCGAGCTTCACAGTTCCTCTTTGAACTTTTTAGGCTTACTTCCTTTGTTTTACCATTTATGTAAAGGTTTTGCTTGGAATAGAACAGAAAAGGCAAAGAAAAATGCCATCAGAAAAATTCTCCAATTCAACTGTCAATGATTTTTCCCATCCCTGAGAACTTTAACAAAAACCACTGACCTTTAGTTCTTTTTTCTACAGAATGATTTATTTGAAGATGGTAAGAGAGCAGATGTCTCATTTTGAAGGCTCACTGGTTTGGCAACTTTCTTTTTTTTCCCATTTTTGCTCAGATTTTTGTCCTTTGAAGGAATAATTTTGTGAATATAACAAGAACACAGTTAAACACGCTAACTTGAACAGAAAAGTCAGCTTTTCTGCAATAATAATTAACAGAGAAACGACAACAATTGTTTTAATGTCTGCAAAAACATAGTTTAATGATAAAATTTCATCAATTCCATTTTTCACATTTCTCTAAACTCATATTTAAACCACTTAACGATACTACAATTAAATAAACAAAAGTTACACTCCGAATAGTAGACAGGGACCAACCTGAATTAAACTTTTAGTTACCAACCAAGAACTTTACCAGAAGTTACGAAAGTACAGAAACGTAATATTGCTGTATTACAGGTAGTTTCAACAGAAAGAGCTTTCAATTTATAAAACTGCTAACAGTTCTCTAAAAAGAGATCTAACAATTTATTACGCGTTTATCTACACACACCTACAGGATCTCATGTATCAAGTCTGCAGAACTAGATCATCGGTACCTGCAACACAGTGTGAAATACCACAGCCATGCGACCAACTAAAATCACGCGTCCTAGAACAGAACCAGATGTTCTATTTTATCTGGTTAAAGCCAACTGGAAATATTACCAGCAGTAGCGTTCTGTTTGCTTACAGACACTGCAGCTCCACTCACAGCCAGAGGTACAAACCAACCATGTGGGACCCTCGGAATTAGTTTCAGTATGACCTCAAATTATCTGTGACTCGTCCAAGAGGGCCTTACAAGACCAACACTAGTCCATTACATCTTAGCTACGTTATTAAACGCGGCTGAAAAGAGAGCTACATACTGCTGTTCTGCTTTCTGTGCTGCCCCTTGGACTCTCTGTATGTCAGCTTTTAAGGATTTGCATTCAGGATTGCACACGTGTATCACAGCATTGGCGCTGTATTTTGGATTCTTAAAATAGTCGTTTAAAACATGTATTTTTTACTTAACTAGGACACATAAGAAACTTTAATACCAGGTGAATTGAAACTGCTGTAGTACTTCAACATTAAAAAGCCAGAAGGTTTTTTTACCGTAAAAACTATTTTACAACCATACAACTTCTCACATTTTAGAACTAATGTTAAACAGAGAAAAACATTCAAGAGAGCCATGTGTTCTGCTAGTTTCTGATCAGTCACTATTGGAATGCAGTTCACTCGTTGACTTAATTCTGAAAAATGAATTTCAGAACACCGAGAATTGCCAATTAAATATGAAAAAAATATCAGTTTTTCAAGGATAAATGTACTTCTGATGCTTAAGATCAGAAGTAGCAGGAACCAAAAGTCAACTAGAGAATTTTACTTAATGCAAGAAAAATAGCCCTTTGTCAAACAGAAAAGTACAGGAGATAGAAT